TAGATAAAATGTCTAGGTTAAAAATAAAATATTATTCTATATAATATTAAAAAAAAGTATTATTTAGATGGAGAATTAAAAATATAAAGGGCAAAATTAATATTGCATAGGATAATAGGGAAAGAATGACTATTGTTCAAAATTAAGGGGGAGTTTGATTTTTAGAGCAAAGTTGGAGGGTTTAAATGATTTTCACTCTCAAGTCAAGACATATCAGTCAGCTCCATTATTATAAGAAATAATGCCTCTTGATATAATTCAGTTCACACCTCACAGCCAAGTGCAAACTAACTACAATCAAGATTGTCGGAAAGATATGAATACGTTCAAGCTAATAGACGTTTGAATTTCGAAAAGATAAAAAAGAATGGAAGTTTGAATTTAAATCATTCAAATATGTGCATTTTTTTACTTTCCGTCATTTATTTGCTAAAATAATAAATTTGAATGATTTTGATCTTCTACAAATCTGATATTATTAAGACAATCTTTTGTTTTTTTACTGATACGTTCACTCAAATATTCATAGTGAAGGTAAGATTTTACCCAATACTCTATCCAATTCAATCACACAATTAATATCACAATTAGTCTCCCGCGCATAACCATCGCCAACTACCACCAGTGACCACCTCTAACGCCAGTCACCACATGTTTACCCGTAAAACGGTACAGTTAAATTTATTAAGTGGTTTATACACGAGCAAATTAATTTAATCCTAAAATGATAAATAAACAAGATTAAAAGTAAGACTTAGCGATTATGATTGAAGGAAAATGACAAGCCTGGCTTCGAGAACAGCGTCTTTGAGGACAGAAAAGAGAATAATATAAAAGAGCAAATAAAGTTGTTTAATTGAGAGTGAAAGTAGAATATAGCATAAGTTTTGCCAAGAATTTTGTGTTTTACAATGGCTACTGAACCTGTTGTTTATAGTTATACTTAGGGGAACAAGATCCTAGGATCAAGCCCCACTTAAATGATAATAAAGGAGCCATTGATGAATATATAACGGCATGACACGGATGCAAATATTCTTTGCAACGCCTGCCTATTTAATGATAGAGAATATTCTTCATTGAATGATATTCAATGTCAAACATTCTAACTGCTCCCGTTGACCAGGCTCCCTTCGCGGTTTATCCCATACCAACTGCAGTTATTGTTCTTGTTACTGGTAGTTACTTGATTCGCCTTTTACTTGTCTTCGATTCCACGTGGCATGGTATCATTCGACCATTTATTACGAACCAAATTTACCCTATACACCAGGCACAACCTACCATTGCACAATTACCATCGCCGCTAGGCACCTCACCAATCACAACTAGCACCAGTCCATCTCACAACCCTCATCACCAACTTGGTAGTTTTTAGAGTGTGTCCCATCAGACAAATAGTTTTTATAACACTATATAAATTAAAATTTTGCTGTAATATTTTCTTGTATATATTTTAATTTATACTCCTCCATTTTAATTTATACGTCTTACTTTTAATTAGTAAATTTTAAAAATAATATTATATTTTTATATTTAATATTTTTAGATTTTTAGTATTCTCATTTTTTTCTTAATGACAGTTCGATATAAGAATGATTTGACATGTTTAATACCACAATATTCAATGAGTATTTTTTGTACGTTATAAATATATTTAATTTAAGATTATAAAAAGTTAGAAAATCTTCTTTACAGTCTTAAAAGCCAATTAAAACACAAAGTTAGATATCTTAACTTTAAGTAAAATAAACAAGTCTATATATCCACCTTCAAAAAATCAAAAATAGTGGTAATTGGTTTTTCCTTTTCTACTATTTGTGATGTGGTATTGCCAGTTGTTTCTTCAACCGTAATATTAATTGCAATCTGAGTTTTATACTCCACCAAACAAGTAGTTTGAGGCATTCAAGACTTTTGACTCTTGAATCAAAGTGGATATAAGTACATTAATCATTTATTGCTGGAGGGGCCTATGAGATTAAGCGTGGGAGATACCGCTGCATCTTGCTAGTAATGCTTGCCGGCGTAACTTTTTCTAGGTCATAAACTATCTTTTTTTTTTTTTTTTGCCCTCCGGTATCCGGTACCCGCAGGAGCCCGACTATATTCCATACCCAGGGCTCGAACTCGAGACTTCTGGTTAAGGGAGGAACAGTCTTATCCACTGCACCACATCCTTTGGTGGTGGTCATAAACTATCTAAATCAAACATATTTTTGAGATTCTTTTTGTTTGTGATATTTATAATTTCAGACGGAAAGTTATACTTAAAAATAACCAAGTACTCCAGATAATTTATTAGAAGTTGCTCATATGGTTAAACAAAGTCTAAAGAACAAAATGAAATCTATCAAACAAGAGAATTCAATACCATCCAAATGTTCGATTGTAAAGTACATTTTTTAGCATGATTAAAAAATTAATGAATTAAAAAACATAGTACACGATATAGAGACAGAGAAATTAGATTGTAATTTAGTGATTACAACTCCGGTTTCACTGTACGTAGGTGCACAGTTCGAATTCCATAATAGGCTGTTCCTCTTCATCTTGTATATTTTCCTCTCTGACTACTATTTAGGAGTTCACTCCATCCAAAAACATATACTTAAAAAGTAAAAATATATTCTCGAAAGAAATACATGAAAAAAATTAACGATATTCTTTATTATATCTATATATGAAGGAAATCATCGAATTCTTTTGACATTTTCACTTTATGTGACGTTGTTAGTCACAATAAAGACATACTCTAATTAATCTTTCTATCTTATATTTGTTTGACCAAAAAGTATTAAGCCTTTTGATTAAACCAATTAATGATGAGAAGAGGGGTGAATCTTAGTTAAGAATAATAAAATCTAGACCAAATGTTAGATGAAGTAGACAAGATGAACGACGTTAGCTAATATGTTTGAGCTGATTAAATGCTCATAAATGCAACAATATAAATGTACAATCGAATATAAATAAATGCGGCTAGCATAACAAAAGAAAGTTACTACCCAATTATTGTAAGATTCTGAAAGCTCCTTCCTCTGACAACCACGTGGGAAGAGGGAAATAATAGGAGGTTGAGGAATCTTTGGATCTTGTGAATATAACACCAAAAATGTATGCTCGAGTAATGTAATCAATGAATAAGACAACTTTTGTATATTCTTTCAGGTCAACCTTTTACAAAGTGTTCTTTCTTATAAAAGTCCATATCCCCTTTTTGTTCTCTATCTCTTCCTATTTATAAGGGATATTTCCTAAAAACCCTAAAAAGTACAAAGCAGGAATATTCCTTGTGTCCATATTTGAACCTATGCTACCGTTATTTCCTCATCTCAGCTGCCCGTCTTTGGCATCAACCGTCTTGAAAGCAACCCTTAGTTGTTATACCATGATCGACCCCGTCTTTTGTCTTGTTTATCCTTTACTGCCGAGTCGCCAAATTTAGACCTATACAATATTTCTCTATTTTCGAAAGGAGGTGCGAAAAAATCAAGACGTCTCAAGTAAAGTCACATTGATTGTAAAGTTATGTTCGACGTAATTACTAAATTTTCTATTTACCATGGTGTAGGGGAAACTCGACAGTCTTTACCAATAATCATCTACTATTTTCAAGTAACCACTTAAAGAGGAAAAAATAGTTGTAGTATCTTATTGATCAAACCAATGTGTTCAATGTTGTTGCTAATTTCTTTTCCCTGACAAATGTATCGACAATACAGCTGTGTCATAAATTTTTGCAAATTTGTCTTTTATAGTCTTTAGTCTAGCAGCCCACATCATCCTAAAACGGTGTTGAAACATTATCCCCAACGAATTGCACAACACTACAAATTAACAACATGAGTATATAGTATTTTAGGCAACCAAGAAAAATAAAAAAATAGAGAGGGTAGTGTATACATAGACAATGAAACTTAAAAAAGATAATGTGCAAGGCGAATTCAGGATTTTAAGACAATGGGTGTATACTTGTTATAATATTACTAAATATTTTTGAGTGCTTTATGACATATTAATATTTTTGCATATTATTCAAAGAGATAACTATAATCTTGCTAATCTAAATTTGTGTTTGTCATTAATATTATTACTTATAATCTGACAATCATTACATAATATTTGTCTTAATATAAAATTCAAAATAAAATGGGATGGTAATGCTAACGATAATTTAATACTATAAAAATTAAAACTTGTGCAAATTTTATGGCTAAAATTAAGAAGTATGAAAATATCAAAAAGCTCTTGGGGCATAGGACGTGTTCTATATGCTTGACTTGCTTATCCAAAAAAAGAAAAGTATATTTTATCCTAAAATTTGGAAAAGAATTCAATAATTTGATTAGAATTCAAATATGTTTAAGCAATAATTTAGGATAAAAATATTTAAGCAAATCTCATAATGAACTTAGATCTTATTGTTACATAAATTAGTTATAATAAAATTAATTTATAATGGTTCAAGATAAAGATAAATCTCAATTGAAGTAAGCAGTAGTTTAATCTCGCACTTCTTAAGTTGTTGTTTAGCATGAAGACTTGGAGAAGAATATAAGAATATGAAAAAGGATAAGAAGGGAATAAAAGTACAATTAAAAAAAAAGCTATGAAGTACAAACTAAATATGTGGTATTATATTAATGTGTGTCCAAGGGCTCGACCGGAGGTAACCAATGCTAATTTTACTCGGTAAGAGGAAGGATGGATGTGTCTCATATTTCCTAATATGCCCCTGATAATGTGTACACAAACCTTATTTTATATGTAGAAAGGTGATTGCAATTAGGGCTGTGCATAATTTGGTAAATACCGAATTACAAAACTGAAAGTTCTGGTATTTGGTATTTGATATTTTGGTATTTGGTATGATATTTGGTTTAAATTTTAAAAAATATTAATATTATGTATGGTATTTGATATTTTAAAATGAATACCGAAATATATATTATATCACACAACTTGGTGGAAGAATATAAATATACTTAATGCTTGCAGAAGACCAGAGGGCAACAGCAAAGCAAAATTAGTGGAGAAAGGACAGATGCTGCATGTGGGAGTTCCTTAATAAAAACTGATCGAATTGGGGAAAAAAGAGTTGTTTGTACGTTTGAGTAAATTTGAAGAAATGGATAGAGTCGAAGAAATGTTAGGTGAAGTGAGAACAACATTCAAGGGAGGAAGAACAAGAGGGGTTGAATGGAGGAAAGCTCAGCTTCAAGCCCTTCTCAAACTCCTTGCTGAAAATGAAGATAAAATTTTCGAAGCACTCAGACAGGATCTTGGAAAGCATCCTGTTGAAGCTTACCGTGATGAAGTCAGTACCTACTATCTCTCTCTTTTTTTCCATAAATATAAAATAAAAAATCTCTTCAACTGATTTATGCACCTAGTTTTATTTCGTTCACTGTTAACGTCTGTGAGCCCAGTTCAAACTTTTAAGAGTGCAAAATTAGCACAAAGTAAGTTGATATCTGTATGTAAATGGCTAAAACGATCCAAAGATACTCTTTAACATTACGGTGTAATAGTCAAAATAGCACGGTATAGCCAGTTTTCGGACCGGTCATTCAAAAATAGTCAGTTTTTACTATGTCAATGAAAAATAGCCACTATTTTGCTACAACACAGACCGGTCCAGAATAATATACTGGAGTTCGGTGCACCTGTGTATGAACTCCAGCATATTATGCTGCACCGGTATACTTTGCTGGCTCCAGTATATATAATATACTGGAGACTGGAGCGCCGGTGCTCCAAACTCCAGTATATTATGCTGGACCGGTATACTTGCTGGAACTCCAGTATATTATGCTGGAGTTCTAGTGTACTTATGCTGGAACTCCAGCATATCATATGCTGGAGTTCTAGTGTACTTATGCTGGAACTCCAGCATATCATATGCTGGAGTTCCAGTACTCCAGCAAATCATATGCTGGAGTTCCAGTACTCCAGCAAATCATATGCTGGAGTTCCAGTATGCTTATCCTGGAACTCCAGTATAATATGCTGGAGTTCAAGTATAATATGCTGGAACTCCAGCATAATATACTGGCGTACTTTCCGGAGTTCTGAACAGTGTTTTCGCTCAGATTTATCTTTACATGAAAAGTGACTAAATTTCGATTACTTTTGAAACTGGGCTATTTTTGAACGACCAGTTGTAAATCTGGCTATTTTTAAAGTCCGCTTTTGGCCAAACCTCTAAGTAAGTTGATATCATTTTTTTTTCTATTTTCCACGTGAGACTTTGTTCGTATACACCCAACAGAATTATTAGTTGTTTCCTGAAACTGAAGGTTGGATTATTTGAATGTGATATGTGGATGCTAAAAATCCAACAATTATGAAGAACAGTGCACTAGCAGCTTGAATAGAAAGTGAACCGTAAAAAAAGATAGAAAAAGTAGAGAATGAAAGCTATAAAGATCATAGTGATGAGATGATCCCGGAGGCTATAACGGATAACAACTGGTAACAAACAGTTGTTCCAATAGAGGCATCGAGTCAAGTGGTAAGAAGAGCTGAGCTAAGAGCGAAGGTGTAAGGAAGCGGTAGAGCTCAGTAGAGTGTAGTTGGGCGAGAATTTGATTATCCCAGATGTTGAGGGGAGCCCCTTTATTAGAGGACCTCAAATAGTACCTAGGGTTGAAATTTGAAAACGATTCCTCATTTGTAACCTCTTGATTTGTGGGAGATGGTTGCACGAATCTTTGAATCCGATGAGAAACGTAGAGCAGTAACGGTTGTTTTGGATTTAATCCGAAGTGGAGATGTGGAGCAGGCAGGTATATTTGGGTGGGAGGGCCTGATAAGTGGTAGGCACGCTGGTCAGGCATCCCGGGACTTTGTGTCTTCTGAATTCTGATTTGCACATGCTGAGCTAGTTGATCCTACCTCAGGAGTAGGACCAAGATTAACCACTACTCCTATAGTGATCAACCTATCGTGCCAGAGGAATGGCATATACACTTGCAATTCATATTATCAAAGAGATTTAGACAATAAAATTTGGTGTATTTAATTAGTGATTCATCATATGACCAGAGTTTGGTTTTCCACTCATTTCAGGTTGGGGTGGTGAAGAAATCAGCTACCAATGCTTTCCGCAGTGTTGAGAAGTGGATGGCCCCTCAAAAGGTTTGTAATTCTGCCCTTTCCCCCCTGAGAAATAAATAAAATTATCCTTAACTGTTAAAGCAATCTTCGGAAATCATCTTCGATGTTATATCCTTAATAATAGGTTGTGGATGTTGGTTGTAACAACTTCTCTTCCTTTCTGTCTTGAATAAGTATGTTAGCTACTGTAGAAACAGGTATTGTCATTTTTTACAACTGTCCTTGTTTAGATTACTATTGATGTTTGAAACAGTTTACAGAGACAAGCAGGCCCAGATTTTTTTTGAAAAAGACTTTGAAGGAAACAGATCTAGAATTGATCTGCTCTGTTACTAATTAGTCTGTTAAGTAGTAGCAACAGGAGTTGCATTACATCCGCCAAAAAACTGTGTCAATAACATATTAGTATAATGAACAATCTGCAGTTTCAAATGAATTGCTCAAAACGAATCAGTCCAGAAGTAACAATGAAGTAAACCTTGTGATACTACGACCTTATTGAGATATAAAAATGAGCTTATTGCAGTATGCTATTACTCTTTGTGCGTGAAAGCTGGTAAATATATCTTATGTCTACTTGCTTCTTGGTCATCTAACCAGCAAGTTAAAGTTCAAGTTGTTCGTTTGTCCATGTCTCTCAGTCATTTGACAACTACTTGTATTATCTATAATTTATAAACTAAGGTGTTGAGCAGCTACTGATGATGCTATATTAGCAGGGCCGGATACCATTAGTTTTCTTTCCTGCAAGAGGGGCAGTAGTATCAGAGCCACTTGGAGTAGTACTCATATTTGCATCCTGGAATTTTCCCATCTGTGAGTAAAATCTTTTTTACTACTACTGTAACTGTCCCTTCTCTTCTTTGCTTCTTGCGGAGAAATATTGGCCATTGTACAATTAAACTAATTCCTTTAACTAGGTATCAATATGACTAATTCAGGAACAAAAGTAGTATCGATTTTATACTATTCCATTATTCGATTGACATCTGCTAGGTTCTCTTAGCTGGTTATCCACAACTGTGGCGTTGTATTTATTAGTTTGCTATTTCATCTGCAGCCCTAGCATTAGACCCAGTGATTGGAGCAATTTCGGCTGGAAACGCAGTTGTCCTCAAACCTTCAGATGTAGCACCAAAATGCTCCTCTTTTCTAGCCAATACAATACCTCTTTACTTGGATCCAGAAGCTATTAAAGTTGTCGAAGGTGGAAAAGACATATCAGAACAGCTATTGCAGCTAAAATGGGATAAGATATTTTTTACAGGTATGTATAGCTTTAGCCATTTTTTTTCCTGTAATCTTTCTCATGTTTGGAAGGAGCATTTTGCAGGAGGACATTCAGCAATTATGATTTATGAATAATTAAGAAGTGACCTAGAATAAAGAGTTGTTAGATATGAACAGCCCCTTTGTGCTGATGATGTAATTCCGGCCTCCTGTTTTGCAGGTAGTCCACAAGTTGCGCGCCTCATAATGTCAGCAGCTGCGAAGCACTTAACACCTGTAACTCTAGAACTGGGTGGAAAATGTCCGACCATCCTTGACACTCTATCAAATTCCTCCGATTTACAGGTTTCCAGTGGTTAAATATCCTCTAAAACAATAATGATTACTTCATGTTTCATCTAAAAAGAAAGTTAAGCTATAAACTTTAAGGGGTCAAGGCATCTCCCATAAGGAACAACTTTATTTGTTGCAAACTAAAGGAAAATGACATAAAGTTAAGAGTATAATTGGATATTTTTGTCCTACGTCGTTGCACCAAAGTTATGGGTCGCGTTATAGAGAGGAGTAGAGTTGAGGGGAGTAGAGTATCCAATTAATTCAGGCCGTATTCATGTTTTGCTCACAGTATAATGTTGGTTTTCAGGTGGCTGTCAAAAGGATAGCGGGTGGCAAGTGGGGACCATGCAACGGACAAGCATGCATAGGAATCGATTATGTGCTCGTGGAAACACAATTTGCTTCAGTTCTGGTATTAATGGCAGCATGAGCTGTTATATTGATCTTTTCATTTATTCTGTTGTCTTTTTGAGGCAGATAGTGTAGCCACCTATTTATTGTTGTAGTTTCTGGTATTCCAGATCGAACTATTGAAGAAGTTCATCAAGAAATTTTATGGTGAAAACCTGAAAACTTTGGAAAATCTCGCCAGAATCGTGAACAAACACCACTTCAAAAGAGTACATAACCTTCTGAAAGATCCGAATGTTGCAGCAACCGTTGTTTATGGAGGCTCAGTAGATGAGGAAAATATGTAATCCTCTGTATCCTCTTATACTATTTCTTACACACCGTGTTCCTCATTTTATTTGATGAATTTGTCAGGGTTATTGAGCCAACAATCTTGTTGAATCCTCCCTTGGATGCTGAGATCATGACTGAAGAAATATTTGGCCCGTTGCTTCCGATCATCACAGTAAGGCCAAACTGATTCTCAAACAATATCATTGAAGTTTTTCACTTCCGAAACGTTATCTTTGCTTTCAAACTTGACTCTGGATTCACTTTATCAGAAAATCTCCTCGAGAAAATGTCTGACAGGAAAATGGTTATTTTAACAGCTGAATAATATTGAAGAAAGCATTCAGTTCATAAACTCGAGGCCAAAACCTCTCGCAATATATGCATTTACCAAGAATGATTCGTTAAAGGAGAAGATCTTGCAGGAAACATCTTCTGGAAGTCTGACTTTCAATGATGCTATAGTTCAGGTATGAAGCTCCGCCTCTCCTCTTTCAAATATATCCTCACCCCTCAGTTAAATATAAGCAGAAAAGGATATGTTGATTTACTTGGTTATAATTTTGCAATGTCAGTTTTTAGCTGACACATTACCATTCGGAGGCGTTGGTCAGAGTGGGTTCGGACGTTACCATGGGAAGTTCTCTTTTGATACATTCAGTCATGAAAAAGCAGTTTTACATAGGAGCTTCTTAATTGAGTTGGAACCAAGGTATCCTCCATGGAATGATTTCAAGATGGACTTTGTCAGATTGGCTTACGATTTTGACTATGTTGGTCTTGTCCTACTCTTGCTGGGGTTGAGAGGATTATTCAGAAGAAACCCAAGGCAGTAGAAGATGAAATCTTCTCAGTCAAATAAGGGTAATCCATCAAACAAAGTGCCTTAACCAATCATAAAGAAAAGCTAAAATGTTGTCACTTGCTTACCCCTATGGGAAGTTGGTTTTTAAAACTAATTTACAATTTTCCTTTGTTTTCCAGAAATCTATTGAAGTGGTTTTATTTGCCTCTCTACTTGCCTATCAAGCATATAATAGACATAAGTAAATTAAGTGATTGTTCAGTAAACAATGATATAGGCTTTTGAATTGCTTTCGCTCTTTATTTTTTTGGCTAAGACAAACTACTAAAGCAATTTACAGTAAAGTTACCTACTAGAATTGCAGCTTACTTTCTGGTGTGATTCCGTGAAACCTGCAGAAGAAAGAAACATAGTTGCTGTATAGACTGCTGCCAGGGATTTGGAATTATGATTGTGTTTCATTCTAATAAAAGAATAGACAAAGAGGGTGTTTGGCTAAGCTTATAAGCTGGTCAAACTAGCTTATAAGTACTTTTTGGCTTATCTACGCGTTTGGTAAAGTTAAAAGTGCTTATAAATCAAAAATAAGCTAAAAGTCATAAGCTGGTCACCCCAAGCTTATGAATTTTTAGCTTATAAGCACTTTAAGTTTGACCAAGATTTTTACTATTTTAACCTTAAAGTATTTCTTTTTAGAACAAAACTCCTACATCGATACTCACTGCCTCAAGTATTCAACTTAAACCCCCCCCCCCCCTCCCCCCCTCTTCAAGTCTGCAATTCTCATTGACTATTTAAGATAAGCAAATTCTCTATTCCTTTGTATACTTATATCTATGTGATTGTGTATTAATTTTTGAACTGTATGTAATAAATGAGGACATATCAAATTTTTAGTGTATTGCTTTCTAAGTGTTGTGGTGATGAAGACAATGTTTGTTTCTATTCAAATAATTTGTCCTATTTAGGTTTTTTTTACTGAGAAATTTTTAACAATTTATTAATTATTATAACTTATGATTATATGCTTATCATAAAATAAATTATATTTATCATAAAAATTATCTTATCTAAGCACAGTTGTATTTAAAATAAAATGACAAATAGAATATTTTGTATTTGAATCGATCTGGAATCTAAAATTTTGAATAAATTACGCCATTATAAGGGTAAACATTTCTAAGGTTATTTAAGTCATTTTAACAGAAAAAGAACTTATCAGCACTTTTTTATCAAATACTGCAGCAGTTTATTATCAATTTCAGCACTTTTATCCAAATACATAACTGCTTATTTATTGAATCAGTTTCAGCACTTAAAAGTGATTTTCAGGCTCAAAAGAAATGTACAAGACAGTTCCCACTTACGGCTAAGTTTTGAATTCACATAACTTCCAACTCCAACTTAGATGGGATTAAAGATGAGGAGGCGTCGTTATATTTTGTGGTTTCTGAGAAGAGATCACGATAAAAATGTAGTAATGGCTAATCTGGATGTCTGGATTCCACATCTTCCTGGATTCTTATTCCCTATAAATTATGTAGAAATAAATTATTCTCTGCGGTGAGATTACTCTTGTAAAGCTTTCCTTATATTTTTCAGTCTTCTAGAGTTTTCAATTGGGGTTTTTGTCCCCATTTCCTATTAACAATCTATTGATATCTATCTATTAATAAAAGCAGAGGCATAAGCCCCCTTTTTTTTGACAAGTGGCAGCATAAAAATAAGACATTTGGCCCTTTAGGACATAACTCCACAAAAATAGGAACTAATCTATTATTTAAGTAAAAAATCTCATATAAACTACAGTTATTTTACTTTTAAATAATTACAACGGTAGAAGCATCCTATTAGACTTCTCTTTGGGGGAAATCTCCTACAATATTTAATACTCTACTTTTGTCAACTAAGTATTTTAGGTTTTTTTTTTTTAAACAAGTAACTGCATCTACTTGTGAATGTGAATACCCACGTTTTTTAGATTTTATCTAAACCTATGCTATCTAAACCTACGCACGATCGGTAACCATCTTGAACTGCTCAAAACTGACTATACCAACTTATATATTTTCCACTGATACTCTATACATAAACCAAAGGCAGGCGTATATCAGAAATTCAACAAAACTATAGGATTCTACAAATTATGGCTACTCACACTGATTTCAGCAAGGATATAACAATTTCGAAAATGCAATGGAAATTGAAAGTTCGGGTTGTTCGTCTGTGGGAAGTCCCGGATCGTTACAATTCAGACACTACTTTCTCCATTGAATTGGTTCTACAAGATGAAAAGGTATTAAACATGCATTTGTTTTGCGTCTCTATTTTTAAGTAGCAAAATCTGGAATTGTTGTTACACTCTTCACACATTTTTAAAGCTACTTTCTCGATTGGTTCTACAAGATTAGAAGATACTACAACAATTCACTTTTTGGTCTTACAATATTTTCATTGCAACAGTATATATAAATATATGTTGGTTTTCTTTTTTGCTTGCACTGTTTTGGTACTTAGCCGTTCTCTCTTTCTCGCTGTTTTTTTTCTCTCCTTCAGTTTCAGAAAAAGCTTATCTCCTTTCATTGCTTCAGTGTTTTTGCACCTCTGCACATGTTGTCTCTGTTCATTCCACTTTTTCCTTTTTGTTTAACATAATTTGAATGCTCTTAACTTTTTGGCTATTTTGCTCATTCATGCCTTCTTTTGAATCTCTACCTGTTTTTATCGAAACAATATTGAAAATACCAACTTCTTTTATTACCGGAGAAAAAATATCAAAAATTTCGTTCTCCGTTGTTAAGTTATGAGTTGTTCGTTCTAAGTTCAGCTATATGTATGTATTTAATGTGATTTCTTTGAAGGGCGATCGGATACAAGCTTCTATTGGCAAGACTATGCTGCATCTTTTCAAAACACAACTTAATGAGCTTGGATTATATGTTATGGCGAACTTTTTCGTTTATCAAAATAAAGAGGAGTTCAAAACCACAAAACATAACTTAAGGCTCACATTTACTCAATGGACAACCGTGGCTGAAACATTTGATCCACTTTTCCCAATGAATGTCTTTGATCTGCGGCCATATGACCAATTGATAAATAAGGTTGATGTGGACGAGACTGAATTATTCGGTAAAAATAGCTTTTACCTCAAAATTCTAATAATGATCTTTTTCTGCCCCTCATTTTAATATCTTCTTATTAGTTAGATGTGATTTGAGAAATTGTCGGTTTTAGTAAGGTAAAAATGCACATACAAACTGGAGTTTCTAGGAAGTTTATGAATGTCGAACTAGAAGATGATGAGTAAGAATAAATACTCAATCTACTGCTTATTAATGGATTTGGCAATTCCATCAACTAAAATTTATATATCTATTTTTATTTGTTAGGAGGAACAAGTTGTCTGCTATATTCTGGGGCGAATTTGTTGATAAAGTTGTACCTCACCTGCTAAGTGCTAACAATCAACCTATTGTTGTTGTTATGCAGCCTATAAAAGCACATAAATTTCAATGTAAAATTATATTATTAACATGTCTTTATTTGATGAAAAGTTATTCATTACATCTAATACATACGTTGTTTTGCAGATTCATATTCTGTGCGCAATACTTGGAATAAATCGAAGCTGTGGATTAATCCAAATTTTCCTCAATCTGAGGAGTTTAAAACACTGTTTAATATACATATTTTTCCCACCAACTATACTCAAATCTATTTTTGAACTATACATCTGATTGTTTTACTCTTTCTTTAATACAGTTTACTTTCTGTTAGAGGTAATTACTCTGAAAGGTTGACTCAAACCATCTCTCAACAAAGCTACTCCGTCTCGGATGAATTAGCAAAAGGCGTTGTTCAAGTTAAAACAATTGGCGAATTAATGGAGTCCATGGAAGTAAGTAAACTATCTTGTGCATAATTATAACTATTTTGCTAATATGTTTTATCTGTCATGAAACCTTTTTTCATTGTTTGTATTGTTGTATAAGAAAAATTAACTATGCTATAGGAAGCTACGGACTCATTATTAATTTTTTTTTTACATTATTGATTCTTTAAGTTAAATGATTTGCAGGTATCTATCTATTAAGCACCGTAGTAACATTACAAAATTTTTAAGCTTAAGCAGATGGGAAGAAATCACCTAGCTTAAGTTTACCGTTTTCTCTATGGTGAATGGATTTCTTGAAACTAAACTCTTAGAGTTTTCTATGTCAGTCAACTTTTGCCACGAATCGTCATCTTATATTTATTTACTTAACAGCCAAGCTGCAAAAGGAGCTTCAAGAAGAGAAGCTAAGAGACTAGAAACGGTGACAATGAGTCTGTAATGACTAAAGCTAACTTGATATTAAGATAATAAAGATGCTGATCTCCATACTTCTATTGATTTCTAGAGAAAACCATTATATTTTGAGCTTTTCTCAGCATTACGTACAATGAATGGTAAGCATTTACAAAATCAAATTTTATGAGAATGGGAATGAACCTGTGGGTTTGTAACAGAGTAGTAAAGAGGAGATGGTGTATGGAAGACACTGTCACATCCATCAAAAGCAGCATCAAATGAACCTTCTTCTAATAGGTTTGCTTTGAACAAAGCAATAGGAAGTAAAGGTTTACTAATGAACCTCATTTTTTATTTTATTTTTAAATTTGTAGGGCTCTACTGAAGATAACGAGTTGATCGATATTGCAAACACACCTGCCAAGATAGGTACAGCTATTGCCGCAACAGTGGTTGAAGAAGATCCGAATGCACAATTGTCTGGAAATAAGATCAAGAGAGTGTTTAAAAAGAAGAAAACAACATAAGGTGTTTGCATATGTAACAGTTGGAGAAACCAAACACGGTCTTAAAAGTTAGTTTAGTAGTTTTATTAGTTATGAACAACATATTTGTATCATTTCATGTTTTCCCTGCTACCGAACTTTCCGGTTTAGTTTGTTTTGAAATTTCAATAGTTATGGACAAGTAATTTGAAGCTTTTCATGGTATTTTATGGTATTGCCTTTTTGTTTTTATTTACATAAGAAAATCCATTGGTTTCTAATACTCCATAGATAATTTTTGTTAGTGGAGAGGCTACTTGCCCGTGTTTGTTATTTTTTGACCCATTTCACTGTTACATTTATTCTATATGTGGTCGAGAAACTCTTTTCCATTCTTGGTTGATATATTTTTCCATCAAGATATATAGATTGCTGCCTCGTGAAGCTTTGATGTTTGATTGGTAGCGCTGAATTGATGTGAGGATGAAGCTATCTCATTTTTGTTGATAGATTGACAATGGCTGGAACTAGCATGGCAGGTTCGACCTACATCAATATAACGATGGAATTGAACTACTGTTTTATTAATCCTTTCAAGAGTCTGTTATATATTGTGTCCACAAGGAAGTCAGGAAATGATGCAAATTATTTTTGATTACACCATCGATTAGAGGTTGAACATTAAGCATGTGTTTGCCGATTATTGCTCGATTTTTTAGGAAAATGGTAATACCCTGTTGTGGACTTGAATCTACTGCCAGGGAAGATTTTTCCAAGCCCTTTTTGCCTTAATTTTGGCTGCTGCAAAAGTTTTATTTGAATTAAATATGCGGCTAAGCCGGTTGAACTAAAACAGAAATGGAACTTCTGGTTGCAGGTGACTGGCAATGCATATGCCAAAGCGCAAAGCAGTTTGCTTGGATTCTGTTATCTATAATCAGTCCTGTTGTAATCGGCCATGTTTACAGACATATGTAAATTAAATCACTTTACAACAGAATTCATGGCATTTCAAATTATTGAAGGTCGCTAATGATAACAGTCTAAGTCGTGCAGAAAACATATCACATTAAAACCAAATACTTAGTGCACAAGAGCTTAAATTTTACAGTAACTGATGTACCATAAGGTCATCTAAACCATATTTTTCATAGCTTATAAATGCACCCATCAGGAATATTTCAACAACTAGAGACTAGCTTGTCCGAACCAAAAAAAACAAAGCAACTTACGTCATGCATCTTCACCGTAAGTGCGCGGATCATTTCAACAAACAAAGAGCGGAGAGAGAATATTTAAACTGATGTATCTTGCGGACTAAATTTATCAACCACATTCGAAACAGTTAAACCAAAAAAAAAATATCATCTTTCATGAGTTTGTTGAGAGAATTAGTGTCTTTTCATGAGCGGATGATTTCGAAACAAGAACCTTCAAGTTGGTAGCTTCGCTCGATATATTTATCAGAACATCGAATGCCTATTTCGTTGACGATTCTAAAAGGTGAAGTGAAGCATCAAGGGACTGCCTCATTAGCGGGAAAACACCAATCAGTTGGAATTTTTCTGATGTTTAAAGTGCACCATGGTACCTTGATAGAAAAATCAAGTTGTAACTCTCCCAAACTGTGAGCGAAAAAATATGGAAGCGTTAAAATAAAACTCTGCTAGCAAAACAAGACGACGCACAACGCGCAAAGCTGTATAAAGTACAATGATAGAAATTCAGAACAAAGTTCAAAAGAACATCTGTATAAATCTATAAATATTCCGGACCTGCTTTTTCTATATATTGTATTTATAAAAGTCCTCTTTCAAACGGCAAAAGCAGATTGTGGTTTCGACCATCCTGCAAACCGCTATAATTTTTTTTGTCAGGGCACGCAAAGCTGTCAAAAGTAGAATGACCGAAAATCAAAATTGAGTTCAAATGAATATCTTTATAAATCGACAAAGAATCTGGTGGTGATATATGTATTTATTGTAGTTCCAATACTCATCTTTCCAACGGCACAAGCGGATCGTGCTTTGGGCGTTTTTGCATAGAGATATGATTTTTTTAGTCAGGACACGCAAAGCTGTAAAAAACAGAAACCCAAAAGTTCATAACTGATTCAAAAGCATATCTGTATAAATCAACAAATAAGCTAGACCTGTTTTCCTTTAAATATTGTAGTACCATAAGTCCTCTTTCCAACGACACAGGCGGATCGTACTTTGGGCATTTCTGCATAGAGATATGATTTTTTTAGTCAGGACATGCAAAGCTGTAAAAATTAGAAAACCAGAAATTCATAACTGATTTCAAAAGCATATCTGTGTTAATCAACATAGAATCTGGACCTGTTGGAAAGAGGTATTGTACTTCTATAAGTCTTCTTTCCAACGGCACAAGCGGATTGTGCTTTGGGCGTTTCTGCATAGAGATATGATTTTTTTTAGTCAGGACAGCAAAGCTGTTAAAAAACAAAAAAACAGAATTTCATAACTGATTTCAAAAGCATATCTGTATAAATCAACAAACAATCTGGACCTATTTTCCTCTAAATATTGTAGTTCCATAACTCCCCTTTCCAACGGCACAAGCGCATCGTCGTTTCGACATGCCATTATAGTCATACAATTTTTTACTCAGTCATCATCACTTATAAATGATACTTTCCCGCATTAAAATGAATAGATCATTTTACCTTAACTTTCCAACATACGGCTTGCTTCTCTGAGACAAATCGTCTGAATCAAGAGATACTATATATTCAATGCGAGCACCATTTCTGTACCTCCGGGTTGCTAAGAGAAACTTCCCCTGGTCCATTAATGCTGCCAAACTTAAATACCTAGAAAAACAGTCATATCATAGAGAAATTTCTAACTCCGAAGAGCAACATATATTATAACCGGTGACTCTATATGTCTATGAATATCTATTGATAGTTGGAGTATCAGATCAAACCATCCTTCTAGCTCATAGTTTTAAGTAAAATAGCAGTAATACAAAAGTCTTCTATTACAAGGAGTATTAATAACATATGAAATTATAATAAAGAAGCCTAACTTTATGACAAATTATGTTCCAACATTTGAACTTTTGTTTAATCGCTGTAAACAAAAGAGAGAAAATAAGATATTAAACCAACCCCAATTCAAAGAGGAGAAAAAATCGAAGACACAATATAGGCACACGCTAGAAGAAATAACAGGTAGTTAATTAGGAAGTTGATACCAAAAACCTTAATCAAAATTAATAGTACTAAAACAGAAGTGTTAGCTACAAAGTTCTAATCTTTGTTCATAAAATGCAAGTATGACCCAATATTATTCAACTTCAGATTTAAATAATTCAAATAATCAAACTGAACTAATAAATGTTATGAAAAAAGGAGGTTTTTTCTGCAGGAAAATGTTCCATTTGTCTGTCTGTTGAACTTATCTTCCTTAGTGTTTTTGACATGTCGTTTTGAGAAATTAAAGCAAAAATAAACTGCACTTTGATTTTTAACAGTAATAATTATTTTTCAGAAATATTAAAAAGTAAAAAGAAAGAGACAAGTTACGTATATAGCCAGCATGTTGCAGAGGCTGCACCGTGTTACCAAAGAGTTAAAATTAAACTCATTTTTTTCTAATCTCATCTTAACATGAGTGGAAATTATCCGTGAAAGTTATACTAAAATAAAAATATTACTTCAAAAGAAGAGGACTTAAAATACAAAAACTGCAATCTAACGCAAAAATAGGCCCAACATATTATCAACTACTCTCTCTTCTCCAAAAAACTCTACAACTTCTCACACCAAATTCAATTTCTCACCAAAAATTTCGATCAACTGCCAATCTCAACAGGAGTAAATTTTTGGGATATGTATTCAAGAATCTCATGCTTTTAGGTTTTTCAGTACTTTCTCTTAGGAAATAGTGTTGTTCTCAAGCATGTTGTAGTTGCTTCAGAGTTCTTTCAAATTGAATCAGATGAGATCACCGAAAAATAAAGTTTGTTGTGCGTCAGATTCATCACACTGAGGGTCGGCAAGTAGCCCGCCAAATTTTACTTTGCTTTTCCAAAAGACTCTACAACTTCTCACACCGCATTTTGTTTCTATGGCACTTTAACATGGAAGAACAGAGCGAACTCGCAAGAAAAAATAGAATATGAATACGGAACCAGAAACGCCTAAATATTCTTCAAACAATAAAGGTATGAACTGTTATCATCACTATTTACATATTTTTAATATAAAATTATATAATACTAACACTAAAAACTGATCGTGACAAAGGAAAAACGGTTAAATTATGGTATGCAGTCCGTTTGTTACAATACAGTTGTACTCTTTTCTTTTCTTTGTCGTAAATTAGATTTTCCTTCTTCTGGCTTGATTCGTCTTTTTCCCTCCCTTCTTATTATGCCATAAACTATTGATCAAGTCCTTAAGCTTCTTTAACTATTCAAAATTGTAGCATATTATTTGTGTCCATTCTAATGATGAAGAGAAAATTATGTACTTCATGCACTCTATATAATCTTGTGCAGTTATTGAATGTAAAAGCATTTTTTAGTTCTTTTCACAATAGTTATATAGGCCTATCATATTTATTAGTCGCGTTTATACATACTTTAATCAGTTGCAATTAGAGAAAAACCACAAAACAGATCACCTCTTCATTACTCATATTTTTGCCTTTACGGATGGTTGTTGGCTTTAAACATTCCTTAGATTAGCTAATTATGTTGTATAGATTACTCTGTTGGAATTATTTTTAATTTTTCTTAAATTCCTTGATTTTAATTAGGGTCAACGAAGTATAACCTTTTTTTTACACTTTAAACACACTTTGCTCTGAGAACATAGGAATAAGTAAAACATGTCATGGCACAACATTCGTCATCGGTTCAATAGTTTCTTGGAAAACTTCTAACAGTTAGCTAATTTTGTTTTATGGTTTACAGACGTTGTTGATCCTACTACTATCAGAGGGAATGCTTTTGCAAAAGGGAAAGTGAAACAACCATTACTGACATAATAAATCAACAAAATCCCACTCGGTTACGAAGTACACCAATAAAGAGTTGTGCACAAATTTCATCGTCTCAGTCTCAGGCACAGTATCCGAATTCTACGCAACAACAAGATCTGCGATTTGATTTGTTGACTTCAAATGT